CCAGAAACTCCACTGGACCTGCAGTTCTGGAGGCCGCCACAGATACAGCAGAGAGCAAAGATAAACTATACAGCCAGCGCCTCCCAGGGGAAGCAGGAAATTAGGGCACAGGCAGCTGAGCAAGTGGGATGACCTGGCAATCTCAGAGGTCCGGGACCCAGGTTCGCAAGTCCTGCACCTGGGACCACCCCATTTGGCCACCCCATTTCTTCAGCGTTTTTCCCCATGGATGTAAAATCAGTAGGTCTATTTGCATGCTAGCTCAAAATACAAAATGCTGTTTGTTTCCCAGTACATATTTCTGTACCTTCCAGAGTTTCGGTACCTTATTACGTGCAATAAAAGTTACATTTCCTAGCCTAAGTGTGGCCAGATCACTGAATTCTGGACAATGAGATATCAGCAGAAGGATCTTGTGTGACTTCTGAGAAATGTCTTTCGCTGTGGACACTACATAACTCATCAACCAAACTGGACGTTAAGAATAGAAAGTATTGCTCAAATAACTTAAAATTGTAACTCCTAGAAACATGTACTAACTGGCAACTGAACCTGGAAGACTCAACTCATTCTATTAAAAAATTCTTTTTTTTTTTTTTGAGACAGGACCTCACTATGTAGTTTAGCCTGGCCTTGAACTCACTATGTGATCCAGGTTGGCCTCGAACTTGTAATCTTGCCTCAGCCTCCTGAGTGCTGGGATTACAGGCCGGCATCACTGTGACTGGTAAAAAAATCTACTATCAGGAATGAAATTTCAAAAGAAATAAAAATAAAATATACTTATACATTAAAATGAGGAAAAATAGAATAAGGAACTTTTAAAATATGGGTTTTCCTCATTTAATGATTTGTTAAATGAATTTCAGACTTATGACCCACTGTTTGAGCTTAAGACCTATTGTTTTTCTTTTTTGTCTTTTTGAGACAGGGTTTTGCTATGCAGTTCAGGCTGGCTTTGAACTCATTTTGTAGCCCAGGCTGGCCTAACGCATGGTGATCCTGCCACCTTGGCCTCCCAACAGCTGGGCTTACAGCACTGTGCCACCTTGCCCAGCCCCATTTTTTTTCTGTCAGTGTCTTTTTTTTTTTTTGGTACAGTACCTTGTTTACACAGTAGTGTAATTTTTGCTGATTGCACTGTACAATGCAGTATAGTCTTACGTTCTGTTACATCTTACAGTACTTTCTGTAAGCATTATGAAAAAACCAAAGTCATCAAGTTGGAGCTTCCTTTGATCATTTCTTTGTTCTGAATATTGTAATGCGCAAACTATATACATTTTCTCATTCAGCAACAACTTCAATCAGTGACCTAGCCACAGGAACAGGACTCGGTTGTTAAATGAGAGATGTCTATATCGATCATCTGAACCCTAAAAAATGAAAGTACAAATATGGTTCTGGTGGGGCTTTTTGTTGTTGTTGTTGTTGTTTGTTTTTGTTTTTGAGGTAGTGGGAATTGAACCCAGAGGCTTAAACAGGACAGGCAAGTGTGCTACCACTGAATTATGCCCCTAGTTAATTTTTAAATTTTAGTTTGAGACACGGGTTTTGAGTTGCCTGGGCCGGCTTTAGACTTACAACCATCCTGGCTCGGGCTGCTGTAGCTGGGACTGTAAGCATGGCACCGTGCCTGGCTTCACATAATTACCTGGACGTATATACACACACGGTGGCCCATTTCCTTTTTCTTTCCCTTTTTTTTTTTGAGACAGGGTCTTGGTCTTGCTATGTAGTCCAGGCTGGCCTTGAACTTGCTTATGAGCCTAGGTTGGCCTGGAATTCACAGCAATTCTCCTAAGTGTTGAGATTATAGGAGTGTACCACCACACCCGGCTAAGGTGTGATATTTAAAATCACAACTACAGATTTAAAAATTTTAATCTTGTATATGATTTGTTCAGCTGCTTCCTCTGTTTGTAGGGAAATTTTCTAATGGAGGACTTTTTTCCCCAAAAATCTCATTTGGTGTTGTTTGTTGTGTAGTTAAGATTCCTAATTGCTGGTACAAAAAAAGTCACTACTCATTTGACGACTCATTTAGGACAACGTTCTATACGATTGCTAGACACAGGCTGATTTATAGAGATTTTCTAAAATCTGATTAATATCTCACAAACAACATACATACGGCTATGCTGACGTGTATTTTTGCACTCCACCCTATCTGCATCTCACAAAATTTACCATCAGGCACTTGGACTCTAAGATACTTGTAAATGTTAAAGTGGCCACAGCTTATATTTCAGAAGAATGTTGTTGGTATTTGGATGGCATAATAAATCATACGTGTGCCACAAACAATTCCAACTACTACACAGATTTCTTACGGTAGTAAGGATATTGTTTTTACCACAATCACGTGCTTCACCAAAATCTGTACTTGTACAGTTATCATAAAGTAATAATTTCACTTTCAATGTTGCACTTTTAAACAGAATTTTCAATCTCACTTGTAAAGCTTCCAAAAGCTTTTGCTTGATCCCATTCATACTCTTCTCCCATTCAGGTAGAAGAAAAAAATTCAAACCAATTTTAGGATTAGCTTGAATGAGTTGATTATTTGAAGCACCTGATGGCACAACTAAAGCTGTGCTTTATGGTTGCACAGTTCCACTCATGGGTCCAAAAGCACCGGAATTACAGCCCCCATTTCCTTGTGTGACATGAGGACGTGTGGTTCCAAGTGACTAACGGCAACTTACAAGAGCAGTTATGCCTCTAAGTAAAAGCCGTTTCACAGAGCGGCGTGTATGTAACACACACATTCTGCAGCTGCATGTGTTAAGTCATGATCTTTAGTGAGTTTTCTTAGTTTAACTGCTAGATTTTGAAAAAGATCCTGATACTTTTCCAGCAGATTTGACTTCCTGTTTTTATGCAGTTGGTCAGTGATACCGTAATGGTCTCTACCGTGGTTAGCAAATGTCAATAAACATTTTGGGTAAGTTACACATTTCTTCTCAACTCTCTTGAGAAACAAAAATTAAAAGAAAATAAACATTTGAATTTTTTTGACTTATGGCTGCCAAATGGATTAACTGCAAAAACTACAGTATTGTCAGCAATACAGTTGTTACGGATTTACATGATGCAGGCAAGCGTGCTCAGTCCACTATCCGCTCTACGGCAGAACTGACCAGTCCTACTTTTGCACACATCAGTATTTTACAAGCGTCAGACCTGTGTGTCCCACGAGTGTCGCTGTGTGGCTCGCTGGCCAGGCACGAGTCGCGTTCACACCAGGTGGGCTGCAGCGTCCCCGCCTCCCGATAGGGCAGTGCCAGCTGTCTCCGGGAGCCCGTGGCGGGCTGCACGCCGCGGTACCAGCCACCGCCTGCGTTCCTTCCTTGGCTAAGAGGTAGTCACCCTGTGGCCAAAAGGGCTAGGAAAGGGCAAGTTATTGCTGGTTTTCTTTTAGATTTAACACCACCTTAAAGTGAGAACTCTCCCTGCATAAGGGCCTCACAATTCCATTAGAATACACTAGACAAAACTAAGGCAGAGGCCACAAAAACAAAGAGGAAATCTGTCAAACCTGTCCTCGTTATTCTAATGTAATTATTAGTAATACGTCTTTATTAAAAAAAAAAGAAAAACTGGAACAGAAGCCGAGTCATGTGGGACTCAGACCCAGCCGGTCTGCACTGAGACTGTCCTTCACAAACTAAGCTGTGCCTCGGCTGGACTCAGGGAAAGAGATCTGCCCTTCTTTGCCCTTTCTCCTCCTTGTGCCTGGTGACCGGAGAAGACTTGATGGCAGCATCTTGGGCCATGACTGGTGAGACTAGCTGGCAGAGCGGTAAGGTGGGAGCTCAGGAGAGGGACAACGAACTTCTCCCTTGGTTAGGCCAGTGCCGCCTTATAGCTGACATCAATCCTGCCGGATGAGGAACACTCTGTAACTTTTCCAGAAATCAGCTTAGCAAAATGCGTCAAGGATGTTAAACCTGTTTAAATCCTGTAGAGTGCTCTCAGGTACTTCTTTTCTACCCTCTCCTTGCCTTTCCTTGTGGTGCTGGGAGTTGAACCCAGGCCTGCACAAACGCCCTGACACTGCAGTGCGCCTCCAGCCCTCAAGTATCTCTTAAATACATTAAATAATCTTCAATGGAGAAAGCCTATATATAAAAATATGTCTTATGAGTCTATTTGTGATAGTAATAAATATGAAGCACAATAAATGTTGGACAATAAGGAATTTGGTTTTTTTTTTTTTGTTTTTTGAGACAGGGTCTCACTATGCGGTTCAGGCCCGACCGGAATTCACTATGTAGCCCAGGCTGGCCTTGAACTCCAGCGATCCTCCTGCATCAGCCTCCTGAGTGGGAGGAATTTTTTAAATGACGTAATATCTAAATATCACGCAGTCACTGAAAAGTGTATGAAAGTTGGGTGTGTGGCGCACACCTGTCACCCCAACACGGGGGGGGCTGAGGCAAGGGAAGCGCCCCGAGGTTGAGGCCAGCCGTGGCATCAGTGACGTCTGTGGTCAGCCTGAAATGCAGAGTGAGATCTCCAAAAAAAAACTGTATGAAAATGCTACTACTATGCTGTGGGAAAAGCCCACATCGTAGCATGAAGTGGGAAAAATGAGACAGAATAAAGCAGAACAGAACAAAACTTTAGACATAATGAAGCGCTCACCCATGTTACAAATGTACCCCTATTTATAAAGGTGTGAATGAGGCACAACACAAGCCGAGGGAAATACATCAACATATTAACGAATCCACTGGCTAGTGAGGTTATAAATAAGACTTACTTATGCAGTTTAGCTTTTGCATATTTAACATTATCCTATAATTAATAAACAATTTTACCCACAATGAGAAAAAAAATAGAAATTAAATTCCGAACTCTTTTCTAGCATTTACAACTCCTCCTGCCAACATCGTCTCTATCAGGGCTCTCCTGAGCGCCTTGCCAAAGGGGAAGCGGGGCAGGAGGCAGCAGCCCTGAACCAGCCGGGCGGCGGGAGCCCGGTCCACGTTTACCTTGCTGTTCTGTAGCAGAGCCAGTCCATTGCAGGCATTTGCTAGAAGAAAGTCTCCACTCAGGATAGCTATTTTATTTCCAAACTGCATGTCCTTCAGGGGTCCATCCGAAGACTGCAATTCATTTAAATTTACTATCCCGCGATGCACAAGGAGAGCAGTATGGATGAGTTCTGTGATCTCTGCCAAACTTCTCTGACTAAAACATAAAATAAGACCTGTTTGGGTACCAAGCATATCATCGGTGGTGGTGGGGCGGCACTGGGATTTGAACTCAGGACGTCATGCTTGTCAGGCAGGCGCTGCAACACTGAACAAACCCCTGGCCCCCAAACATTTATTTCATCATTAATGTCAGCTTTCAGTTTCTAATAATAAAATATTCTACAGGTTCTTTCAGGGGGATTATTTCTTTTCAATGAACATTTTTAACAGAGGCCCCCTACTGAGTATTTCAGATCTCCAAGCAGATCCTGACACCTTTCTCTCTAAACATGCCCACTTGCTATCCCCCGTGTCACCGAAATGTCCTCGAGGGGCGCTGCCAGTGGAGTCACCCTCCACGGCTCTATGGAGACACTCTGCCCTCTTGTAATGTCAAGATTTTGGGGACTCTTTGATCGTATCTAATGGAATACCAATTCGAGTGGAATTATCATCTGTCGGACACAAGTCCAAGTACTTTATGTACATTATCTCTTTTAACCGTTGTGTCAGATGGGATTCCAAATGTTTGTTCCCCTTTTTTGTATTTTTCTACAGTTCATACATTTGTATAATGACAAAAGTATTAGTTTTATAATCACAAAAAATCCAATGACTAAAGACTTAAAACCTTATAATAACCCTCCTAGAGGTATTATTAACCCCTTTATAGGTGGGAAAATGGGTATGCAGAAGTCAAATGACTTTCCAAGGACACCCAGCAGTGCAGAGTTGGGAACTGATGGCACCTAACATCATATGGCGCCATATGCAAGCTGTGTCTCTGGACTTCCATGCTCCTATGTGGCCCTCTCCACACTTTTGCTAGGCGGGGCCACGTGACTTGTGCAGCCCTGGGTTCAGAACAAACCAGGGACATGGCTTGTGGGGCACGGAGAGCATTCCAGTCAGATGCCTAGAACTCCTAGAAAGTTTTAAAAGAAGTCGTATGAATTTGGGCTAAACATAACAGAACAGCTTAAAATAAGGGGAAAAAATGCTTCTGGACCCCTGCCCTGCTTACTAAATATAACAAGCAGGTTGAGATTGCCACTAACCTGTATGTTTGAACCATTTTTCCTTGCAAAGGAAGAGAGCTCAGGCAGCAGTCAGAGCTGGGAGAAATGGGCCGTAATAAAAAAACATTTTGTGGAAGGCGGGCATAGTGGTGCCACCTGAGGCACCAATGAAACGGCATGGAGGATGCAGAGACAAACTCAACACATCTGACTGTGCTTTAGTTACTTTCTCATTGCGGAGACAAAATAACCCAGAATTAGAGGAGGAAAGAAAGGCGAATCTTACTTTTTAGTTTGTAGAGATTTCAGACTTCACAGGGCAGAGTGGCGGGGCAGAGAGGCATGCAGAAGAGGCTTGCTGTGGGCAGGGAAGTGCCAGGCAGCAGAGGAAGGGAGGGGAGGGCTATACACACACGCACCCCTCCAGGCCACGCCACAGTGACTCCCTGCTTCCCACCAGGCATCACCTCCCAGCAAACATCACCGAGCTCTAAACCCTCAGTAGACGACCCAGTGGCTTCCCAAGAGCCTTACCTGTGAGTCTAAAACACTCTGAGGGGACACCTATTATAAATCATAACAAACTATTTATCTTTGACAAAGGAGCCAAAAATATACACTGTAGGAAAGATAGCTTCTTTAATAAATGGTGCCAGAAAGACTGGCTATCCACATGCAGAAGATTAAATCTAGGCCCATACACTGTACCTTACCCTGAACTAAACAAAAATCAAAATGGATTAAAGATCTAAATATTAAAACAGAAACAATCTGCTAGAAGATAAAACAGGCAAATAGCCAAGGATTTGCTGAACAGAAGGCAACTGCATTAAGAAATAGTATAATTAAGAGATATCAATCATAAATACATGTGTATCAGATACCAGTGCACCCAACTATATAAAACAAATATTAATGGACTTGAAGAATCAAATAATAATTGTAATACATCTGAAATACTCTACTGTCACAAATAGGTCAACTAGACAAAAAAATCAACAAAGAAATAGAATCAGAGATGAACACACCTTTGAACAAATGGCCTCACTACAATGGGTCACAAATGAAATTAAGGAAGAAATTAGAAAGTTTTGAAAATTAAATGATAATCCAACAAGACATACTGGAAATCATGGGACGTGACAAAATCAGTCCTATGAGGGAAATTTATAGCAGAGAATTATCACATCAGAAAAACTAAGTGAGCTGAAATAACCTGATGTTGAATCTCAAACACGAAAAACAACAGCAAGTTAAATCCAAAATTCATATGAGGAAGGAAATTAGAAAGATTAGAGCCAAAATTAATGCAATTGAGACTAAGAAAATAATACAAAGAATCAATGGATTGAAGTGTTGGTTCTTTGAAAGATTAAATAAGAGGGACATACCCTTAGCTAATCTTATTTTTTAAGAAAAGGAAAGCAAAGACTCAAATCTCTGCAGTTTGGAATGAAAGGGGTGAAATCATAACAGATCCTGCAGGGGTCCAAAAAATCATCAATCCCTGCTTTGAGATCTGAGTTTTAATAAAATGGAAAATGCCTAAGAAATGGATGGATTCCTTGATACATATGAATTACCAAAGCCAAAAGATACACAAATTCTAAATAACTCAGCACCAGTAAATAGAACTAAAGAATTAAAAAGCCACCAACAAAGAAAAGCCCAGATCCTCACTGCTGAACTGTACAAGAAATTTAGAGAAGATTTAATACCACTGTTCCTCATACTTTTTAATGAAACTGAAAGGGAAGCACACTTGTAAACTATTCCTGCAAACAAGCACTACCCTGACACCAAAAACCAGAAGAGGATCCAACCAAAAAAGAGAACTATAGGCCAATCTCCTTAATGAACATAGATGCAAAATCCTCTATAAGATACTGGCAATCAGAATGCAGCAAGTCATCAAGATTATATACCATGACCAAGTAGGATTCATCCCAGGGGGGATAAATGTAATAAACATAACAAACCCCATTAAGAGAACCAAGGACAGAAACCACCCGATCGTTTTTTTCACCTGATCATCTTAATAGATGCAGAAAAACCATCTGACGAAGTCCCAACATCGTCTCACAAAAACTTAAAAAAATTGGAATAGATGGTCAATACCTTAATCTGATCAAAGGCATCTATTACAAACCAACAGTCAACATCAAACTAACTGGTCAAAAACTCTAAAATCCCTCTAAAATCAGGAACAAAGACAAGGACGTTCACTATCTCCACTACTGTTCCAAATAGTTCTGGAAACAAACTACAGCAATTACACAAGAGAAAGAAATAAAAGGAATAAGACTAGGAAAGAAAGATTTGTTATTGTTTTATAAGAACTAGTCACATTAGCAGCTTTTTTTTTGTCTTTTTCTTTTTTATCAGTACCAGGAATCGAACTCACGACTGCCTGCTTGCAAGGCAGGCGCTTATGCCGCTGAGCTAAATCCCCAGCCTGAGCAGCTTATTGTGCAGTTCAGGTTGGCCTTGAACTCACGGTGATCCTCCTGCCTCAGCCTCCTGAGTGCTGGGATTACAAGCGTGTGCCATCACACTGGGCTTTTAAACCTATTCTTTAATTCCACTACCTAGTGCTGTTTGATCAACTTCTCTAATTTCATCATCAGATTAAGAAGTCCAGATCAACGGAATGGTGACAGGGAAGTGGTAACAGAATGAGATGTCTGGGACACTGCACCTTATTGTTACTTTACTAGGAGTCACAGCCATCTAGTAAACTTTCCAAGAACTGGGTCTCAAAAATTACTTCAAACAGAAGTCTTCATGCTGTTTTATGCACATATATTTTACTATTCTTGGATATTTCTCATGCTCAGTTTTGAATGGGAAAGTCACAAAAATACTGTTTATGAAGCAATTACCACATTGAAAGAAGCTCTAAGGTTTGACTGATGTTTTTATAATCTTTTTGGTTTATGTCTTGTACTCATCACAACTGCTTTGAATACAATGATGCACACTGTGCTATTCTTTTAGTTTGATTTGATGCATTATTTCATGAAATAAAAAATAAATCTCTAATACAGTATTTTTTGGTTACCAAATCACTTTCTTTCAATAGAGACAATTTCTACTTCTCATCTGGTCATTTTCTTTCATTATTTCTGCACAGACTTTTGAAGCATCCTAAGCTTCAGAAATACACACAGCAGCCCTCGCTGGCTACCTGCTCGGTCTGCCCTCTTTACTGACACTCCTGGCTGTGTGCTCACTTAGGAAGACCCCCCTGCACCTTGTGCCGCTAGGGGTGACCGCAGGACACCGTCAGGTCCGGGAAGAGCAAGCAGAATCATTAGGTGGGGTTTCTGAGAAATCTAAGTTCTTAATCTAAGGAGGCAGATTTAGTTGGCTATGTGACTTAGGCATTTTGAGTTTACTTCTTCTGGGATACAGAACTTCCCAGAGGCACAGTACAGACTTAAGGGTGCTAGAGAGCCCCCAGCTGGGGATGATGGGCAGGCAGGCAGGAAGCTCCAGCCCCTGAGAAGTTTTGAAGGCGATCCCTATTCCCATGAGCACAGCTGTAGACGTACCGTTTTTCTTTTCTCTTCCTGTGTGTGTATGTGTATGCACACGCATGTGTGCTACAGACTGAACTGGGCCCTTGTACATGCTAAGCTCAGACACCACTGAGATACACGTTCCTTCCTTAACCTCTTGAATTTTTTTGGAGGGGTAATAATTACAGTATTCTCTTATGCTACTCTTTGAGACCTGTTATATGTAGCTAGATACATTCCTGAGTCAAGAGAACTGTTCCACCCAAATGGTCAAGACGTTTTATGTTCGTATTTCTGACTCTGATTCTATTCATCTAGTGTTACCTCTTGGAGACAGCTCCACATTATTTACCTTATTGCTCTATCTTATATCTCCACAGAGGTCCACTGTCTGAAGGTGCCATGTAACTTTTGCTGCTGTACGGTGAGTAATATATTTTTGTTTTGTGAAGGTT